ACCTGACTGGCGACTTTCGCAAGCTGCGGCCACGACGCGCTTTCAATTCAAATGGTCAATGTATCCTATTCACCACAACCCGGCCTAACGCCAGCAGCTTTCAGTAACAAAATTCAAAATACACAACAACTCAACCACTATATGTTAAGAAACCAATAATGCTTTGATGTATCCTATTCACCACAACCCGGCCTAACGCCAGCAGCTTTCAGTAACAAAATTCAAAATACACAACAACTCAACCACTATATGTTAAGAAACCAATAATGCTTTGATGTATCCTATTCACCACAACCCGGCCTAACGCCAGCAGCTTTCAGCAACAGAGTTTCGATTATTTACACCCTGTGTGTTTTCGAAGCTCTGATTTACACCCAGTGGCAGCGTACCTTCAGATACATACATTAATAGCTTCTAACCAATAACTTAAGTAAAGCGAACTTGATACCAAAGTTATAGAGTGGCATGATGTGTATTCAAATTCCGATATTTTACACCTAGTGGCAGCGTACCTTCAGATACATTACCAACTATTTAACAAATACTCTGTAAGAAAAAATATTTCTTACCTCAATCTGTGAGCCCTGATCTATCAAAAAGGCGGTTATCGCACGATCATCGAGAAATTTGGATGCAAATATTTGGGGTTTGAATTTCGAAGTCTGCATGGAAACGACCTTTGTATTACTCAACTTCACACTGTTGTAGAGAAAGGTTTTATCGGCGAAATGATTGTCGGTGAAATGAATGCCTCCCCGAGAAAACATGTAAACATCATCGATTAACACGTGTGTAATGTAACACAACGTCTCCCGTGATTACTATTACTTTAAAACATGTAACTATTGTTGCATGTCGTTATCATCAGAGACTGTTGATAATCCAGCCATTAACAACTTGATACAATCCTCCAAACTTGGATGGATTTCTTACGGACAAATCGACATAAAGCCAACTCGAATAGACAACGTCTATTGCTTTAATTACTTCTGTAGAAAATCGATGCTGATATGCCTCGGGAATAACGAAGAATGTACACCAACACTTGTGAGTGAGTTCGCAAGAGTATACTCACTTCCAACACACGAGTATTACAATGACGACAATCAGTTCAGAAGATATTCCATCATGGCTTAATAATCGCAATGTATACATAAACGGATTTACTAGGTGTGACGATAACTACTACATGGTTGTTGAAAAAAAGTTTTATAAATGTTATTTTCTCTACGGATTCTGCGCTGCATGTGAAATATTCCGATGTAGTCCCGTGTGGTGCATTTGTGGGCATAAACAATTATCTGATGGATGGACTAGCGGCAATAAACAGCTCGATGAGCTTATCAACAGATATTCTTACCACAGATACATATGATAAGCGGGAAAAAAAGTATTATCTAATAAAAGGACGCTACGGGGATGGATTATGTCTGGCGTGCACAAGTCCGTTTACCTGCTCGATAAATGCTTTCTGTTATGAATGTAAAACACCACGACCTCTACGAACAACAAGTCTTTGGATTTATTTATTACGGAATCGTGGAAGATACAAAGAATGAATATGATGCCTACATACAATGGATTGAATACTCGCAATTGACAAATGTAAAAAAAATGACATCATTACACCATGGATGCACAACATATTAATATAGCAGAATGGTTAGAACAAACAGCAAATGAATTGACGCATGTTATTAATGAAGGGGATGATCATTGTTTGATTTTCATCAGGAAAGTTATTCACACGTAAAATGCAAATAGTATCATTAACGTGTGTATCGCGCGTCTAAAACCCAGATTATTGCATATTAATATTTGTTTACACAAATAGCTAACTATAACCAAGGAATATCCAAAGATATTGACACCAGATAATATTGGGTCATTGGGAGATCACTCAGGAGCCATCTATTAAAAACAGCTCTAGCGGTCCACCGTAGCTGTGTCAATAAAGGACCACTAAATCAGGAGCCATCTACTCGGGAATATTATCTAGTTTTCTACTACGACGTTCACGCAGTATTAGATAGATTTATACGAGATAATGAATGCGTAAGGTGCATGCAATATTAATATATACTGTATATAGTGACTTTGATGAGGTTAAAGAGATCGGATCTGGAAGTGATGCAATCGTCTATACTGCCAAATATAGAAAGTATTCAGAAGAGAATATGCAAAAAAAACAATTGTACTTAAACGGTTGAAGAGTTTCTGGAATTTAAATTATTTATTTCCAATAATTGGCAGTATTGATTAAAGTGATATTTAATCTGACTCCATAGTTGTTTTCGTTTAACAGTTCAGAAATCATGCCAAGTGCATAAACCATAAGAATAATGATATATACTGTCGAATTTACGGAGTCACACAAAACCCAGAAACAAAAGAATACATGATTGTTATGCAATATTCTAACAATGGTAGTCTTTTATCTTATGTGAAATATTGACAATTTAACGTGGAGAATGAAATTGGAATTTTTGCATAATATTGCATTGGACTTGTTTATTATTCATTCTGTTGGACTTGTCTTCATGACGGAAACATCATAATCATTATGCATAATCGCAATATGCGTGAGAAAGGATCATTATCTATATCATACATATGCGATCTCAGGCTCTCACGATCAATGAATTCGCGTCAACCAATTTCAACAGGTCGAGGCATTTTACCCCTTATTGTACCAGAAGTCTTTTTTACTCGCGAATTTATTCAGAAACCAGATGTGTATTCTTTTGTTATCATTGTGTATTTGATGGCTACTGGTGAACTACCTTTTAGAGACAGGCAGTTTGATGCAACTTTAATACGCGAGATTATGGATGGTCTACGACCATCGATGCCTGATTCCGCACCAAGAAACTTGCCGAGCGGTGCTGTGACACTGATCCTCTGATAAGCGTCCTGACGCATGGACACTTTGGATTGATATTGGCGCGCTCTTTGAAAAGGGGGGCGACGAGAATACATGGAATGCCGTTTATCATAATGTAAGACTAGGTTGCTCTTACGAGATTTGCCGAACACCGAGAAATAGCTACAATTCTCATCAGTTACCTTCTTATATATGATTTCGGCTTGTGCAGTTTAGAGGGTGGGTTAAGGAAGTTTGATGAAAACAATAGTTGGCTTTTTTTATTCGGATACAATACCTTGAATAAACTTATTCGGTTTATCCAAGGGTTGTATTCCTCCGCCAATTAAATATGACATGTTTCGTGTCATATGGTTGATTCCGAAATAAATCGCATAGAAAAGTAATGTTAATGAGTTTGATGCCGGATAAATGCATGGCAACATTCGTATGATCCTGACGTTAATTTATACGCAAACCAACCACGCCGATTTCTTCCCTTCATTTGAACATTGGATAATGTTATTTAAAGCCTTAGTAATTAGACTGCATACAAGAATCCTGGAGATATGATAAAAGCAGATCCCACATTGCTCGGAATCTTTCGGTTAAAGAATGTTATTGAAACTCCTGTGAGAACTAAAATCTTGGGTCATTCCACCATTTCTAACGAGTCTCAGCAAAAATACTAGCATAAATAAAAGTATTTATCAGCAACCATGTAGTAATAACCGGTAAATCCAATATGGGTTCATCGTGTCTGTTAAGCCACGTTTGTCATTGTCATACTTGTGTGTTGGAAGCGAGCAAACTCACTCACAAGTGTTGGTGTACGCTCTTCGTTGTTCCCAAGGCGTAGTGAATAGGGTAATAGACGTCATCGATTTGAGTTGGCTCTATGTTGGTGATAATGCCCTCGTAAGGAATCCATATATTTTCCAGGGAAGTTTGTGCCAAGTTGTCAATTGCTCGATTATCTGAATAAGAAATCTTCAAGTGCAATCACGACAGAGCATTCTCAACGCAATTAATCGAAGATTTGTTTATACACGCTAGCGCTTCATAATCGGTATGAGTGGAAAACTAAAGCGAGATGAACAGAATAGTTTGTCGTTTTTATATGATTGTCTATTATTCCAATGATGATTTGTTCATTGAATTAAGTCTTCTGTCTAGGCGCCACTTTGTACTCATACGGAACCATCTAAACATATTAATATCAACAAACTACCTACTTGGAACACCTCGCAAGCTTGCATACCCGTGATTTGTAATAATTCTAAATCTGTTGTCTCGTAGACAAACATTTCCCTTTGACACGATTGGATAAATTGGACTTTCAAGGGTTGATTTCAGTATCGCTTCTTTCTGTGATGTAAATTCATAAAAAGTTATTGCGTAAATAATTTTATAATTTATATCATAAAGTTCTACTTTTCTCTAGTTATTGAGTGTTACCGTGTATTAGTATATAATAATAATTATTATTAAATTTGTGCATATTTAATAATGTGATGTCACTCCTTATTATCATCGGCAGTCCCTGAAATTCGTAATTAACGGTTTTTAGATCGCGCGATTTTCCTACTTTCATGAGCCAATATTCTCCCCAACGACCAAGACGCGACCGGCCTCCGTTTGAGGTTGGACACATTTCCACAGCAAACGTCGGCACAAAAGCCGGTGGCACCTCGCCTGCTCTATCACCATCTTCGCCCACGGTTTCCAGGGAATCTGCCTTCTTGTCGTGGAGAATGAACAGAAGCGCTGGGAATCTGCTTAAACAACTAGAAGGAAAGAGAGGCGGTGAAGGTGTGGGTTATGCGCAGTTTGATGACGAGCAACGAGGAGAAGTACCTGGTGTCGAACTGAAAGAATTTGCAGCAGAGGATTACAACCCTGAAGCGTGTGAGTCGGGTGGGAGCAGAATTAAGAGAGGGGGGAATGTGTGTGTAGGGGTGCGTGACGTCGTGTTGTCAATGCGATTATTGGGTCGATAATGCTTTTGTTCTCTCTCTCTCACGAACAAGAACTGTTTACATATACCCCAGAACTGAAATGACTTTAATGATTTATAGATATTGCAAAGACATTGGCCAATGCTACAGAAGAAGGAGTTCGGGTGTTCTATGATAAACTGCGCGAATCCAAGGATGTGGCTGCTACAGTATTGCAAAAGAATGTATACGAAAACTATAATGAATTTGTTACAATATCAAAGGAAATTTCAAATATCCTTGCTTTAACGCGGACGATCGTTCTGTTGATTTATTCCCAAGTGCGATCCTTAACAAATGTATGACCGTCATTCTATGTCTATACAATTAGAGAGTGATATGCTAGTGCTTAGAAGTTTTCTTAACGAGTTGCGAAACGTAAGCGACAATTTACGCGAAGATTCTACTGTTGATTCAGTCACAACTGACTCGGGTAAGCTTCTCAAATTTTATGGTGTTGTTTTGTCACGTGATTAACATTGCAGTTGCTTTATCATCTTCAACAGTGATATCTGTTGCTGCTGACCCAATCATATCTAGAAGTCGTAAGCCGGTAACGAATAATGCTGCAGATTTGCAGGCAATATGGAAAGCGCAGATTGAGGCTTTATGGGAGAATGTAGAAGGTGCTCAGGTGAGATATTAACCCAATCGTGTATAATTATCTGTCTTGCAAATTACAAAGTAAATCATCTGCTATGATAATAACCGCCGTTTATTAGGCTCTAGTTCCATTCCAGCGTGGTCGTCACGTCATTCGAGAAATATCCAGTTTTGTTGAAATCAACCCAAAATCAAATAAATTAAAACAAGGAGTGCAAATGTTCTTGTTGACCGACTGTTTGTTAGTTGCTAACAAGAGAAAGCAGGGAATGTCAATGAGAGTCAAACTTGTAGCCGATAAATGCTGGCCGTTGAATGAAATTACTATTATTGATATGAAAGATACGAGCGGTATGTGCATGTGATATTTTATCGTAAAGACCGCGAGCGATTTCTACACGGAAATGACCATGTTATTTTTTAGAACACGAAAATATCATAAAGATTCTCAAACATCCCGTCGACACTTTTCTATACAAATGCGGTAAGCCTGAGGAGAAAATGACTTTGATAAGCATGGCCAAGCGTGCCGCTGAAGTGATGATGTTGGTCAAATCTAATGGTGGGGAACAAAGAAATAGCGGTGAGTTGATTCAACGCGACAGTAGAATATTTTGAATACTACTATTTTTTTTTTTTTTTCATTCTCATTCTCATTATCATTCTCATTCAATTGTTTATCCATATCAGACACTATGCTGCCTATCGTAAGTAGCAAGTATGTGTGATAGCATTTTTCGGCTCGATCTAATTAGCTTGGTCTCGTCCCATTACAACCACAGGATGAACAGAAACTTAATCAATCAGCCAATAACTCCTCCCGTCGTGGTAGGAGTATGTTAGAGCCATCAGTACCCAGTACGCCTATGCCTCGCACCCCATTATCTGGAACTAGAGATGCACACGCAATGGATCCTCGGGAGATTGAAGATTTAATGGATCAGCTTGACGTATTTATTGCGCTGAGAGAATTTGATGAGGCTGTAGACAGTATTAAAAAACGTGAGAATGACTGCAGTATAAATTAGACCTTTAAAATTTTGTAATCATTGACTAATTCATTGCATGCTTGATTTCTTGTAGTCAAGAGTGCAATTGGTGGACTACAATCAGATCCTATCAAAATGGAGTCACTTCGAAGTAAAGTAGATGAGCGTGTTGTTCGCTTATCCGATGCCATCAGTAGGGATCTGACTACTCCTGACATTAAGAAGGCACAAATGCAGAAGAGTGTGAAATTGTTGTTGAGGCTGGGATATGGCGAACAGGTGAGGTTTATCACGCTGGAATATTTTCTGCTTTGGACGCAAAATACATAATTCTCATGTGTTATATTCAAAGGCACGTCGAATGTTTCTTACTGCACGGAGTGGGATCATAAGAATAAGAACAAGGTAAGTGCTATAAAAAAAGAGCTCTGCGTTGCCCTGTTTCCTTGAATTACATGATAACGCATTTTGAAATGTTGCTTTACTACTTGCAAAACAGACAATTAAAATTCGAAGGAGATATACCACAGTACATAAACGAGCTCTCGCTTGTCTATTTCACATTGATTAAGAATACGTGTGCTTGGTACAATTCAGCGTTCAAGGATACGAGAATGGCATCAGGTAATATTACATCAATATACTTGCGTGGTCCTGTAGTTATCGTACGCTTACGTATTTGCACGTGGATGTCATACTAAACAGGTCTTGTCAAGTGGGCAAAGGAAGAGATGGAACGTTATGCAGATATGTTCAGAAGACAGGTTTATACCGTTCGGAATCAAGATGAACAAACGGTGGAGAAATGTCTCCGGTGCACGAGACAACACTGTTCTATAGTAAGTGACAGTAGTGTACCATGTTTATTGAATAGTAATGATATGTACGGGATGTGTATTAACAAGTGTGGTTTTACGAAATAGCTTACCGATGTTGGTTTGGATCTCAGATTCCTATTGGAAAGTCTATTACAACCATCCAAGGGTGAATCTCGTGATAGTGAATACTATGATAACGAGGATGACGATGATTTCCTGGTGACTTATGTTGTATCATGATCAATAGACAGGATTCAATTTAATTAATAGATGATAGAAATATAAATAAATTAATGAACGACTTGAAAACGAACACGTAATTAGTAGACAGTGCACAAATTAACATTAGTAATGCCCAATGTATAACTACTGCAAAATGAAAAAAAAAATAAAGCAAACGTGTCAAAATTTTTATCGCCTTGAACTAACAATATATGCATGACTGTACTCCTCGCCCCAAATTCTAATTGGTCAGTCATTTGTAAAAATTCTCCTCGTGATATATGTGCAACATTCGAGATCTACCCCTTTATTGACCAATGCGCGTTATAAACCCTATATATACCAGTTCAATTGTTCATATAAATTGTATAAATTCTTCTGTTAATACTAAGTCACATATTAAATGTTCATATAAATTGTCCATATAAATTGTCCATATAAATTGTCCACATAAATTGTCCCATAATAGTTCTTGCAAGAAATACAAAATTAACGCCAAAGTCATCTATCTATTACACTTCCACGGGGGTACTTTGATAACGTCTCTTTGATAATTTGGGCATATATTAGTAACTCGTCTGTCGTCTAGAGAAAAACACGTTTGGGTTTGATATTAAATAATGACATAATACAACGAGGATACTAGTTGGGTTGGTTATAAATCTTACCATCTGTGAGAGTTCTTGCCTTCCCACACCAATATTCACCATGGCCGTGCGTTCTTCTGTCGCTCTCCGCCTCTGCAACATTCGCGCCATGCGCACTCTCATTACGGGGTCCTGTCCCGTAAAGTCCATATTTTTGGAAACATTCTCTGGTTTTCGGCCCCGTTTTGGTTTTGGCGGAGAATTTGTCTCTTTGCTTTTGTCGGCGTTTTGAGACATGGCGGTGGAAGTGGTGAATAGAGGTAAACACCCTCAGCTGTGTGGGCACTTTTTTTATATCTTTCGTCTTGTGTGATATTTGAAAATCAATATCACAATTTACTTGATCATATGACATAATAATAACGTTTTTTACAAATACAATATGCGAGTTTATTGATTTTGTCATTATTGTTAATGCATACTCGGGGTACGAGATATGGGGATATCACGTTTCCAACACTCCCATGATGGTCATACTGTGGTATATCCAGCAAATTGGTAATGAACTAATACTAACTGTATTTAGCAACTTCAAAACTTGAGCAATGGGCAGGATCAGCACGGCAAGTAAAATTTACACAATCGACGAACAATATGTTGATTGAATATCCATCAATAGAATTGTCGAGCAACAAATAATCAGGCATGCAGTAACAACATGGAACTGCCATAGAGAAAAACGCAACCAGTTTTTGCTCGGTCATCCACCATGTTGTTGTACTATTTAGGCAGAATGGCCTATGCTGCGAAATAAAAATTTCTCTGATATTCCAAAGCCACTTTTCCACTGTTTCGTGCAATCCCGTTATATTTTTCCTTCACTGTTTCTTCGAACCGTTATCTTTTCGCCGCTGGATACTTTTTTTCCTTTCCAAAGACACAAGGGAACGAAATCTAACATAATTGCCGTATTTTTTTTTTACTGAACTGCATTTGGCAAACTTATTATTCGGCGTTTTCCTCCATAACAATTATATTGAACGGCTATCGCCGGCATGATGATCGGAAACTTACGTTTTATCAGCTGTTCATATGATCACAGAACACACTCGCATACTGCCTATGATAATATAGATCACAGGGTACAGTCGCATTCGAGCTTCTATCATAAACAACATATTATTTATCACACAACATATTATATCAGTTCTATGATAGAATTCGATGACTCATATACGGAAAGACATTCACATGAAGGGGAGGGACTGCAATAAGCATTTCTCAAAGGGTTCGCTTGTGACCACAACGATAGAACACATATGTAGAATAGTGACATGTGTGTAACGTTCTACTAGAGTACAGAGAGTTTGTTTAAAATACGTTTTTTTAATCAACTATGATTCTAACGTACTGTATCTATGTTGTAGTTGTACTGTATACAAAAAGACGGATGTAATTGACGTTAACTCCGAATCTACAGTGCAGAAAATGAATACAAACACCCAGTGACTGAACATTACACTTACAAATCATCAAATATACACAGAGTAGTACACTGACACTGTCGGAACGTTTGCGGAGAAAGTTGCTATACGGGGTTCGTAAGACACAGCTCCTTGGCGTAAAATGGATCAAAGCACTCGTAAGCAGCTTTCTAAAGCAAACTTTTATCTTTGAAGCAAGAAAAAAAAATAAAATGAACAATCTTTGGGTAACATGCAGTCCGAAAACTACCGGTCGTGTCCGTTGGTTATATAAATAATAATAATAATAATAACAACAACAACAATAATAATAATAATAATACCGATAGTTCATAAGACATTTGATGAAACAACAAACAAAGCTGTATATATATAAAAAATCGGTTGACAGAATTCGGCAACTGGTATTTTAACCTGTAAAGATTGCATACAAGGGTAAATTGAAGAAAAGCTAATGAAAAAGGATTGGTTGTAAGGTATGAATGATAATAAGTACACTAGAACGTTCATGTGACATTGCGTTTGTAAGTCTCATTGGACGATTTGTACTCATGTTTTCCGGAAAATTAATTTACACAGATGGCTGAGATCTTAATATGCATTTCCCTTTTTACAAAATGGGGGCAGTCGTATGCTTCTGATTAAGTTCAATATATTTACGGTGACCCCAACTCGACTGTAATTAATTATTCTTACGAAAGTTCTACAATACGTTCCGAATGGCAGTATGATTCTATTACCTTCTATCGGCGATGTCATAGTAAATATTTGCTTGCGAAATAGAATTTTTTAAATGTAATACAGGATGCAGAATACAGTCACAGTAATACCAGCTTATCACACAATCGACGCCCATTGTCTGCACTTTTATAGGTGAGCAAGTAACGTTATAAGTAGATCAATCAGTTGATTAATTCCATCAACAATCTGCCATGCAAGCGATAGTCTCGCACGTATCCGCCCAAGCCTTGTTCGTTTTCCAAAGTATCTACGAGGACGCGTTCTTCCTCTCATTACTGGCCATCGGAACATGGCTAATTCATCAGGTATACAAGCTCCATTTTGAAAAGTCGCCTATTAATGCGATTCCAGGACCCAAATCCTGGCGCTGGACGGTTATTCCGCATGCGCTCTTTTTATACCTCGGTCCTGGGTAAGGAAGAAGGACTTTCAGAATCACACGCATATATGATGCGTTTGTTACAAGTTGGTCAAACCTGTTCAGAATTCTTTACCAACTGCCCTTTTATCCGATAGGCATGAAAAAGCAAGAGAGTTGCACCAAAAGTATGGACCCGTCGTCAGAATTGCCCCCGATAGCGTACTTGTCGCTGATAAGAATGTTGTCAAGCAGGTAAATGAATGCCATGGCTAACGAGATTAGCGTGCGTTATGTCGATGATGGACTCGGTCAAATCAAATTCATTCATTTAGATTCTCGTGACTGCCAAAGATTATCAAAAGGCCGACATCTACAAAATAATCTTTGGAGCTGGGGTTCCTGGTTTACTTACGACCATGTAAGCAGAGAGCTTTTCTTCACGAAAACGCATTTCTTTACAACTAACGCGTCTCTTGATTGTATGCTATTAATTTCCTGATGACAGTGATAGACAAGAACACAAACAACGCGTAATTATGATTTTACTTCATTTTCTTTGGAAATTTCTTTTGTGCTGACGCCTCCATTATGTATTTAGCGCCGCTTGTTATCACCTGCATTTTCAATCACTCAATTGAAATCTATCGAGCCACATATATCAAACACGGTCACAGACTTGTGCGCTTTCATTGAGAAATCGATTGAAAATGCGGGCAAGGACGGATGGACAGTGGTTGACATGATGCACGCTTTGCGGCTAATGGCATTTGATGTCACGGGACATGTTTGTCAGTATTATTTTCGGGTACTGCAGCAGTTTGTCCAAACAAGATTATTATATTGAAGGTTATAAAATTTGCAGTATTGGGGACGAAACTCAATTCTCTCAAGGGTGCTAACGCTGGCATGGCGGATCAACTGATCTGGGAAATGACTCAACAACTATTTGTAAGTTTTGCGTTCGCATCAAATTCGTCCGTCGTCATGCAATCATTCTAACGACTAATTGATTGACATTATCCATTAGTCTCCTCTTCCAGTTTTGTCATGGTTTGTGCCCTCATTGCCTGGGCCAAAGCTACGGAAGGTACGGTAGACAGAATCAGATGGGCCGGGACTATCATAATTACAAAACCACACTATTAACTATAAACTATCAATTAAGTTCTTGATGAGTCTCATTGAGGAACATCGTCAGGCTGGTGAAGACAGAGTCGACGTCCTCAAATTTCTACTTGAATCCAAAGGGCCTCTTACTGACGAGCAGATCGTCAAAGAATTGGTTTTAATTTTGTAAGTAATTACTACAACCAGCCAGTATGACAAAGTTACATATAATCAACCAGCTCACGTTTTGCATTTATATCTACAGCTTTGCGGGAACTGGTAGAGAGTCGCTCTATTTCTGCGTGACCGTTTCACGTTATATCCAGACTCGCATTCTCTGAATCATTCTCACCGCATTCCGTACACATATCAAATATTCTTTTCACCATGTATACAGCTAGAACTTCGGTGACGCTGACGATCACCCTCTTGTTACTTCACTTGCATCCAGAGAAGCTCGCTAAACTTCTCTCTGAAATCCATGCCACGTTCCCCGATCCTAACGAACCCGTAACACACACCAAGTGCAAAGAAATGCAGTACCTCAACGCAGTTATTAGTGAAACGATGAGGTACTATCCTATCGTGGGTCCTGGTTGGATGCCGAGGACCTTCCCATACGATTTGAGGGTTGGAGACGTTGTTGTTCCAAAGGGTACCGAGATAATCAGCTCTATATATACTTTGCAACATGCAGAAGAGTATTGGTGAGTTTTGTTATTGCGACTTGATGGATATTGCAAAGGAGAAGGACTGGGTAGGGAAAATAGTGCATTATACGCGTATTTATTAAAGTTAATGACTTTGACCTACATTTGGCGTCCTCTTCAAACGAAACGTTTTTTATTCTTCCAACTAGGCCGAACCCGGACAAGTTCATCCCGGAAAGATTCTTTGCCGAGAACAATCCAAGCTGGGACGCGTTCTACCCATTCAGCGCTGGAGAAAACAATTGTATTGGTAAGAATGTTGCGTGGGTGACGATGGAAGTTGCGCTCGTTACACTCTTGCGTAAATTCGAATTGGAGCTCTTACCGGAGAACGAGCAGACTAGGCAATTGGTGATGTTGTCTACGTTTACGGTCAAGGGCGAGTCGTTGAAGATGAAAGTTAAGAGGCGGGCTGAGGTTTAAACGAGGGTTAGCATAAAATGTCTGATCATGAGTGCTGATGATATCGGACATGTATGATTTCCACTCGCAATTATAATGAGATATTTATCAGTCTTTGTATTTGAGATCGTTTTGCTCAAGAAACGCCATTGACCACCCAATTCGAAGACTTTTATAATAAATAACGGACCTCAATATTATTTGTTATGAGAACAGCGAGAAGAGAGAAAGGGTGCGCGTATTCTATAAACCGGTTCAAGATATCCCTCAAATTTCCTCAAATTGGGGCTCTGCTACATAAAAGTTTAACAGTTATCTGATATAGCAATTATTATTATAACACCGAATAAGAAAAGCGTACGCACATCAAAGTGCAATCCCAACATTCTCGTATGATAAGCCTTGTCGTTTGGTCCCATTACCACATTTTACGAATCGCAAGATAATTTTATTTTTTTTAAAAAAAAAGAACGAAACAGAATGCCATATTTTCGCGTAACATGCAAATGAACGATTCTGTATAACAACCAAATGGCCATACTAATACTTAATATACACTCTGTTTTTCATACCGGATGACTTTGGAGTTCGTTCCGTCCGGCCGGTATAAAGAGATTCCGGTAATCAACTGACGCTAATACATTTCCGGTATAAACAGAGTTGACTGTATATAGAAATTCCGATAGCCCAATGAGATCATTCACCGTGCGACAGTTATAAGAGTTGCCGTTACAGAACAAATACTATTTTGATCGAAAGAAAAGCTCGCCTGTAAAGAATGACAGACTTGAGCGCACCAAATCTCTTTTCAGTTAAGGGCAAGGTCGCCCTAGTGACCGGAGGAGGAACTGGCATTGGAAATATGATCGCTAAGGCACTTGTGCGTAATGGTGCTAAAGTTTACATCGCATCTCGGAAAATAGATAATTTAGAAAAGGGTAATTCGATATTATTTTCATTTCGTTCATGCAACCATTTTGCCATCTCCCTTTTTTTTTTTTTGGTCTATCGTTATTTGTCATTTACAAGGTTTCTTTACGTTAACAGCTGCATCAGAATTAAATGCTCTCGGACCAGGAACCTGTGTTGCTATTCAAGCAAACCTAAACACAAAGGCTGCATGTGAACAGTTGGCTGCCGACATTAGTTCTCGAGAAGATAAACTTCATATCCTAGTAAACAATTCTGGAGCAACTTGGGCTGCTCCACTGGAGGATATACCTACGAGCGCTTGGGATCGCGTGATGAAGTTGAATGTCTATGCTGTTTATTATTTAACCATGGCGTGAGTATCTGAATATTATGAGAAGGAAGCAAGTGAAAATTGCATTGGGTAAGTTTTTTTTAAAAGATCTGATATGAATTGGGCAGTCTCGGGTACATAGATGTCTGCCGCTTCTCACGAAAGCAAGCCAAGGGCCAAAGGATCCTGCGAGAGTTCTTATTATCGGGAGTGTGGGAGGTATGTAGGATAATTCTGTCGGAAAGGCACATGACATGGTCTTTTCTCAAGTCTTAATGTGAATTGTTTGAATAGGTCTCGTTGCAACAGAGTTGAAGAGTATTAAAAAAAACGGCAATTACAGTATCATGGCTTATAATACCTCAAAGGCGGCCGTCCATCATATGGGCAAGGCTTTAGCAGCTCATTTAACGTAAATACATTGTTCATATTGTCGTTTGACATTCCATGCAAGCTTCTTTCCTGATTCATCGGGGGGGGGGGGGGGGGGGTTAATTAGTTCCCGCGGTATAAATGTGAATGTGATTGCCCCAGGCGTTTTCCCGACAATAATGTCCAAACACCAAGACGAAAAGGGTTCAATCGAAGAGACCCCAATGGGTATATATATATATGTTTTTTTTTACTGGGAAGGACGGTTGTTCAATGTTTCAATCACCCGATCTCGCACACCGATTGATGTCATTTCACATATACAGGTCGATTGGGAATCGAATCGGATCTTGCAGGTACGGCCTTGTATCTCTCTTCTACCGCCGGAGCATATGTTTCCGGTGCTGTCATTCCAGTTGATGGCGGACTATCGCTGGGAAGTGGTGGATCGCCCCAGAGCCAAGTAACCTCAAAAATTTAAGCAAAAATGAATTTAGAGCACGTTGACAGGCTACATAGTGACAGGCTACATAGTTGGTACACGCGCAAAATCAAATCACGCGACCGTCTCTTTGTTTTCCATGAATCAAAAAATTGCGCTTTTATCTCGAGATAACGTAGCAATTGCCATAACAGTAAAAGTCTGATTCGCTGCCAGGCGTGCTATATTATCATATACTATGTGGAAAAAAATAGGAATAACATTTTTAATTTTTGGTTCTGTTGTCCAAGATGTTTGTAAATCCGAACGTGCTTTTTCTAGTTCGAGCGAGAGCTGTCCTCCATCTTGTAAAGTGTTTAATAAACATTTGATGCCAAGATTGAGAGGTTGACTGAATTTAAAACTTTTTCTTCATCAAAGATGCCTGACCTCAATATTTTCAAATCTTCCTGGACGCATCCCAGATTCAAAACCTGAGTTACCTTCCATATAATCCATAAGATGTCAGTAACGTGTCTGGGTAACTATGACTTTGTGGGACTCTGAGAATTTTTCAGTCCCTTTTCTTCGCTAGGCGAGAGCCTTCTTGGTTCGCGGGTTTTCTCTTTGTAGCATATGAATAATTTTCACTTTTGCTAAAGGTCACAGTGCTCAGATAACCAACTGTATTATTGATTTGCTCTTGGGAATCCTTGATGATTTATGTATGATGTTCATAGGGCATTGGCCAGAAATTGCATATACTGTACGTTCACCAAATGTTATCGTTATTTTAGTTTTATTATACTTGTACCTATAGCCTCCGTCACGCCACACCGGCTGGCGTTATGATAAGTCAACAAGAAACAAGACTAATGTTCTTAAATAATTCTTAAAAAAAATTTTGCAATCCGAATTATAACAAGAGACACTATCCGCTCCAAAACAAACATAATACATAATAATACACGATCTTACGCATAATTTATACTATTTTCCACCAATCAAAAGTCGCAGATCGTTTTGTTAATATCTAAATAGTCACATGTTTTTCGTTATCGGCGAGAATATTCGTTTGCAAAAGAAGTTAGCGGAACAACACTTGCCACATGAAACTGACACTGTAAAAACAATGCTTTTTCTTTATATTCAACCCTAATTTAACGTTAACTCTTTGCTATACCTTGTGCATGATTAGACTATTATTATACTGGCTGAAACTTGTCATATTTCCGGATGCTCTACTCGGTGAATAAAAATTTCATAATTGACTCGGAGAATTATAAAAATTATCCATCTAATTGTGTGGTTTTCGAACGCTTATATTATTATTGTGTGTGTTTAAAATACGATTAAAGTTTGATTGAAAAATGCGTTGGTATAAATTTACATGACTTGTAGCGACTTTAGAGTCTGCAAACCAATATCCCGTTCAAAGGTAAACGCGAATCAATAAACTTGGTCGTATGGTTAAATTATTTCTATCCCATATTAGTACCAGGTGACCAATTTTTTTCCATCCAGAATAAAGATAACTGGGATAAATAAACTCTTAGTATAAATAATTTAGACTAGACAAACGAAACACTATCTCATAGCAAATCTACGTAATATATCAGTTTCACGCACATAATACGTATGCTTTGTCTTTATCAAAATCTCAAATTTTAATCACTCTGAACTGCTAATATTAACCGTTTAAATCGATCACATTTATTGTTTTCATTTATTAAGCATCATTATAAACTTTGTTTATCATGCATCAGGTGACTGCTGCGATGTGTACATCAATACTAAATTTACATTGCTCAATAGCATATTCTTTGTCCAAGTAACACGTGACAATGAAACTTGCTCGCAGACATTATATCAGATTCATATTAAAGCATACTAACTTACAAACCCAGTCTAGTGGACGGTTATGCGAAACAATAATTTATTTCGTTTTAAATGTTCGTCATAACAATAAGTATTGTTACATCTGAACTGCAGTCGGATACTTGTGACCATACTGACCATAGTCATGTTGGCGCACCTTAATGGATAAGCTGCGCATACTCGCATCGGGAAGAGAATTTTTGTTGCCAAGACTAGCATTTAGAGAATATATATCGCGCGTTTGTAAAAAACCAAACATGGCGATGTAACTAAAGCAACATCCACTCAATGCATTGGACAGGGTTTCCTACGGAGATTGCTCAATACCTTATGGATTTACCAGTAAAACTAGTCGTAATTGCCACATTTTGAACATGATGAGTTTTGCCGCCGATGAAAGCCCTCATTATCATACATGAGTATTTGACAAAAGCCACATTAAACATTCTCCTCTTGGCTTGATAAACAATTTTTATACAATTCTGCGAATCCCATTCATGTTTTTGCGATTAAACGAAAATTGCCCCTGAATGACCATGTACTAATTATCACATGGTTTTCACGTGATGATCAACTTGCGTTTGTAAAGCACATGTATAAAAAGTATTTGTGCGACTCTAACAAGTTTGCCTTCTTGCTACAGACAATCTTAATTGTAAGTAACCATCCGCCACACTTGCATTAATGATATGCTTTTGTGAGAACCTAACATGTCGCATCGACAGATTTTCTTTACTCTTCCGATTTGCGCTCTGCATGCAACGCACTTTCGGCAGGTTCCGTAAAGCTTTGTTTCTGCGGGTCTGCGGCCAGCTGGTAAATTCAGGTCTACAGGATCACGGGATATGCGCAATCCCTAACAACGTTTCATCGAGTTTCATTGTGAGTAATTGGGGTCATTGTTAACGCATATTTGTCACTAACGATTTTAGTAATTCCAATGATTACACGTACACTCTGATTGTCCCAAACATACACCATTTTTATCTTATCTTCAGGTTATACAAAGACCCGAAGACGGCGTTGTTCATATGGATTCTACTTAAGCTTGCGTCATCATTCCATTTGCATAGCTAAGATCATGCTCGTTTTCCCCCTTTTCTTGTTTCAACCGAATGGCTGAAAAAAAAAAGTTTCTATATTGAAAAAAGAAGAGAGATTTGATCCTGGGAAATAAACCAGACATCTGGTCATAGGGTCAATGGAAAGAATTTACTTTGCGGGAAGTATTCGCATAGAATGAATGCATGTACGGTTCTCTCCGCTGTCCCGATGATTATAATAATGTGGAGAAATTGAAAGAGAGGGTTGTTCGGATAAGTAATATAGTGGGGGAATGGAAACTTGGCGTAAGTGAAACTGTCCACAAGTGTACTTTATACTGAAACCAAGAATAAACGTCATTATCAAGATAACGAAAATCGACAAGAATGTTACTCTTTTCTTTGTTTCGTATTGATATGAAAAACCGTACGCACTTTTTAGGTTTTGATTATCTAACGCCGACGGATTTTGTTCATTCCGTGTTTTTTCATCTAATTCTTACTTTTCGCCATTTAGTTGTGTTGAACAGTAAACTGTGCGTATTGAATAGGGAATTTAAACTCCCTGTTGAAATTAGGATGCTTTTTTTTTATATGCTGCATCCCAAATCAAGATCGAAAGGGTATACATGGTCTGTCGAATGAATTGACCAAAAACACTGCAGATGATATACACCATTAGTACAGAGTGTCACAGAGAACAAAAAAAAAAGCCCTGTGTCATTCACCCCTGGCACTATTCCTTTTCTCAAATGTGTGTGCTGCAGATTCAAAAAGGCCTGTCTACGCCGCTCGTCACGCTCCAGAAACTTTAGAAATTACTTAACTCTTTTTCCTTAGACCTCTCGTTCCCCAAAATAATATACTCTTCGAGAGTGGTTTGCCATATACTAATATATCAACCTCTTTTCCAAACTTATCACCTGCCCTCCTTGTCATATCATATTCTACCCGCTAACCTCTTTTATATAGATAAAATAGTAAATAACTGATAACACTTTAAAAAAAAAAGACTTCGCGCGCAGTCAACACATATATTATAGTACTATCATGGAAAGCACACTTCACACACTCGACGACGCAATGCACGACACGATGTCAGATGCTCACTTAGTAGACAATCATATAATGGACGGTGCTGAACATATAGTCGAAGAGGAAGTACTATCTGTAGATGTGGAGTTAGCGAAACAGAAGGAAATATTTAAAGATTTTGCGACTGAATTGCAGAGGTTACAACTTAGCCCTGGCGGCCCTCTCGGAGTATACTTTGAAGCAGTCCAAGCTCTTGCACAGTGGCTGACAAGACAGTCTTCCCGCTTCCCAGACTTTCCCTTAACAGACTCAAAACCCGACCAAGATGCTCTTTCCTCTATTAACGACACATTAGCAAGATTACACGCAGATATAATAACACAAAAATCAGAGCATGCTAAAGTAGTAGAGCTGGGCGAGCAGCTATTATCGTCTACGAACATTTCTGAAGAACAACAAACAATACAAAATATCCAATATACAATAGACCAATTATGGTTGTCCTTCAACGAAATAATAAAGACAAGTAACGTTAAATTGCGAGAGTTCCATTGGGTGGCGGACATACAAAAAAAACTAGACGACGTATTATCACAGGTCAAAGAAGTTGAAGCGACTTTAGACGGCGTTGAGGAAAGCAGACGCAGAACACACGATGATCCTGTTAACGGTCAATTAAGTGACGTCATCGTCACTGGTTTTGTCTCAACATCCCAACTAGACGAATGGTATACCAAAGTTGTAGAAATTGAGGAACTGCTTCATCATGTTGACGAAAAGATAAATGAAATCCATCAGCTCCAAGTCCAACATAAGCAATACAGAATACCCACAGAGCTCAAACAAAAAATTGACGACATCATCAGCACAAGTGTCAACTCGCTTAAAAGCAAAATAGCAGAGATCAAGACTGCTATAGCCTACAGCGGAAAATATGTCGCTGGTTTGATGAGGCAAAAGAGACAGAGAAATGGATAGCCGACACTCAGAATAGGACAAATCAGTTGGAGATTCCCGATTTTATCAATAAACAAGAATGGGTTGAAGAAGAACAAAATTTAGAAGTAATAGTAGACGAAAGACGAAAAATGATTGAGGCAATTACCGCTGACATTGAACAATTCAAACAAGATGGCATCGATGCATTAAATAAGAAAGCTGATGATATTATTGCTGATACAAAAGATTCGTCTAATCAAGACGATCAAGCGGTTATAGACTTGATAACAAAACAACGCAAGAATTTGGACGATAAGCTTGCCAAGCTAACAGATTATATAACACTGATGCTATCACAGACAACTGTCGAGCGATACACGGAACTTCTCAAGAATCTCAACGACTTGCAAAAGATGCGGCTACACATGCAATCAGTCCGAAAACTCATTGCCCAACAAAATGATGCTGAATTAGTGACCGAAGATGTCAAGATAGTCGAGGTAGAGATAACAAACTATCAACCAGAGCTACCAACTGACGACTCTGCTCTATCAAAGGCTGTACGACAACGTCATGCAAAACTGTTAGTTACCATACAAAACATTCGCGTAGCAGTGGAAGAGAACAGACTTCAGATGGCCGCCTATCTCAGTCCCTCAAGTCCGAGCTCACCAACTTCGGCTGGGTCGGACTTTGACAGGCTAAGTTCTGAAATTCAGGAGCGACTAGAGTCGTTTAGCATACGACTTTTGCCCCCACCCGTGTACATGCTCGAAACAGATTCGGAAAACGATGAACCGGAACGAGTACATGGACTTACCTGCAACGATGATCATGTTGAAGAGCTCACGGAACGATATGGTTCGATAGAATCGGAATTGGTTTCATTCGAGAGAAGCATTTGGGTCGAGTTTTGGCTCAACAGCGAAAGAGCAAAAAGGGTTCGCGGTGCCGAGGTCAAAGAACGGATCAACGAGGTCGAGACAAAGTTTGCCGAAGTCAAAGGGTTGATGGAACTTCGCAAGTCTGATCTCGCTCGCATAAAGGAAGGTCGAGAATTTGCGAAAAAAGTTCACGCGATTCAGGATCAATTCGACATTGTAAAGGGAAAAATGAGACGCGGTGACGTTGAAACCACTACTGATGCTTCAATTCAAGAACTCGACAACCACATGAGCGAAGCCCAAAGCCTTCTCGATGGACTCTGTATAGCTCACACTCCAATGATGGCCGAAAGTTTTGATGACAGCAGCTTTAGAGAAGCTTTCGAAAAAATAATTTCTGAACAACAACTTGTCCAGGACTGGATTGAAGAAGTACGCATCTGGTTTAAAGAGGCTGAACGTATTCGCATCTGGATCGAGCAACGTATAGACGTGTTGGAGAACGTTCCCCAGGTAGATGTGTTCCAGGAAGGTCCAGCGCCAGTGACTGAAGAACAAGTCAATACATGGCAGAAAGAGTACGAGGAATTGGAGCATGACGTGGAAAATTTCGATGCGGAAGATATGTCTCGTCTTCGCGACCATGTTAAAAACATCATGAGCAGTGACAAAACCGCTTCCAACACAATGTCGCCGGCCGACACAATGACGATATCTATAACACTAAAAACTCTCGCTTTCTTAGACCAACTTTTCAACATGTTAAAACGACGTGCTAACGAACTAGACTGTTTGGCGTTGCGTGTTCAGTGGGAACAAGAGTATGAGAAAGCCATGAAACAGTGGGGAGATTTCATCACGGAAATTCACGACTTTATAAAGCAGCGCAGCCGATGGAAAGCTCCTACTGCTACACGAGCAGACGGTTTTTATGAAGCCATTGGGCAACCCTCCTATAAAGAAAACAGCACAGAGGCTCATACTTTTGGAACAAGAATCACCAAGTTCAAAGACTCGGTTATTGCAGAGGCCGGACGCATTTTTGACGAGCTAGTCGAAGTATCGCTTACAGAGCTTCCGGAACATTTACTAGTACGACAAGAGAATTTGGAAGATCGGGATTACGAACATTTAACGCTGTACCATACTTTCGCAAAGAATATCGTTGCTCAAAAGAAACAAGTTTTTGATTACGTTTCCGACGCAGAGGCTGCTCACGTTGAAGGCTGTCGTTTACGCGATGAATTGATAAAAGAAGAATCCAATCCTCGCGCATCAATGGAAAACAAATATGTGGCACGAGTAAAAGCCCTTAATGACAAAATCAACAAGGCATGGCAAACCAAAGGCTCAACAGTCATTTACCCAACACATGCTCGTCATGAAGAATCCGAAAACGCCGAGGTTCAAGAGGGTGTCGAGAAATATTACAAATGCCTGCAAAGTCTCACCAGCGAAGTTGATGAAGCACTACAAGCCTATCAGTGCGCTCTCAGGCTCACCAAGACCGCTGAAGAATGTAAGAAGGAAGCTGCAAGATTGGAGAAATGGATTGCAGACAAGCACAAGTTCCTTAACAAACGCAAGAGCGACATGCTTGCAAAGAAAACATTTACAAAAGAAGATGTGGAAAAGTTCTTTGCCGATAACACTGAATTGACGTCAAACGTGGCAGATTTCGAATCCAAAGATCTTCGTGATTTGCTTGAAAAGGTTGCCGCTCTTGTCGCCGAGGTCCGAACTATTGGAACCAAGTGCGTTAACACTGACGAATTGGAAAACATGATGCACACTCTCGAAGGCCGTCTCGCTGGTTTACACGAACATATTGAAACTGACGCAGAGATATTGAGAAAGAAAATGGTAGAATCTTACATGAACCAAGCAACAGAAATCACATCTTGGATTGAGCCTCGGCTGCAAACTTTGCTTGGCATAGCAAATGATGACACGCTTGGCGAACAGACCGAGAAGCGCTTGCGTGAATTGATTAGTGAAGTGGATCGCATCGAAACTGCTCGTCAAGGCTATCGCACATTTGAATTGACAAAGGACCTGTCTGTAGGATTGGCGCAAGAAATGACACCACTAGAGCGCGAAGGCGATGACGGGGAGGTTGATATTGTTAAAGCCGACGTAGAAGCGATTACCGCACGACAAAAGGAACTCGATGATCTTTGGGAAGCATTGAAAAACGCCGTTCCAGAAGCTCGCCAGGTTCTAGAACAAGCACTTCTCTTTGTTGATGTCAAAGAAAAGGCCAACGATCTACTTCAAAAGATTGCTGATTTGGGCAAGGAGATTGAGAATACAAACGTCCGAGACATGGATCACTCTACGACAAGAGACTGGCACATTAAAATAAAGGATATTGAGGAGATTGAATTTTTCCGATTAGTCAGGCTTTACACTAACGTTATTGAAAGTCTCCGAGAGAAACCAACGAAAATAACAGACAAGGAATCGAGCGTGCTTAAAAATAAATTGGATCAAATATCGGAAGCCATTCTCGGCATCAAGAAACTTATTGGCAAAAAGAGCGATGACTTTGAAGCTTATCAATCAGCACAGATTGCCAACGCTCATAAAGCGCGTATTGATGACCTGCAGCGATGGATTGAGCAGACTATAACAAACTTTGCAGATGCCACACAATATGGTCTGATGGTGGGCAAAAATGAAGATCAAAACAATAACAACTTTCAGTCATTATCTCTTTTGTTTGAACAGTTCACCAACGAACTGCCAGAACGTATGAATGAATTGGAAAGCATCAAGGCCGAGTTTCAAGATATTTCAGCACGAGGAGATATTCGTGAACTGCAAGACATTATCGAATGGCATGATCAGCTCGGCACTTCATGGGATGGATTGGAATTAGCTACATCAGAAATGAAAGGACTTGTTGATAAAGTCAAGAGTTGGTATGATTGTCACGGGAGCATCTACAGTGTTGAAACTGATATTGTTAATGGATTACAGCAGCGCATCGATAAGCTTGGAACCACAGGATACGACGAACTAGCTGCAGAAGTCAATGAATTAGATATCAAGATAAAAGAAGGGTATTCAAGACTCGAGGAAGCCAGAGTTGCCTCACATGAAATTCCAGAGAAGCCAGGAGAACCACTCGATGCGCAGAACAAACTTAATTTCAAAGATCACCATGAAGATATGACAAAACGATTAGACGCATTATCAGCTGCACTCAAGGTTGCATTAACAGCAGCCCATAACGCATCCGCCCTCGCTGCTTTCCATGCAGAGGCGGACCGCATCATGTCTGATTGCTTGGAAGGGACAGCTATTGTAAGAACTCGCCATGACGATTTAGAAATTAGTGGATATTATGCTCTTGAAGTCGACGATATCGAAAAGGTCTACCGACGTTCGATTGAGGGATATACAGAAAGTGAACAAAAATTAAGTGGCCTTGATGATCAAGTAAATGGAAGTTTCAAGCAGGAAGCTGATACATTGATAGAACAAAATCCTACCATCAACAAGGAACGCATACTGAGTATTTACAACCGAGTAAGCGATACTTTGAAAGGATTTTCGGATGCAGTTGCACTTGAGCGACGGGAGCTTGAGCTTGTACGTAGGCTATATGCACATGCCAAAGCTGCTCGGGATATCAAGGCATGGATACAGGGCTGTAAACGCGCTGTTCTCGACGTTCAGGTTGACGTTACCGATCAGGAACTAGAAATTGCAGACCTCGAAGAAAAAGTAGCCAGATTCCAACCGACAGTTGATGCATTCGTAGAAATGGCACGAAAGGTCTTGGTACCAGAAGCCGACAGTGCTGAAATTGATGTACCGCAACCAGAAGAATCAAATCCCAAGATCAAAGATGCCGTACAGCAGCGAACTGACCGTGTACTAGACGACTGGAATGCTCTCAAAGACTTGTTAACGACCGTAAGAAAGAGTCTCAACGCTTCCAAAGAGAACCAAGAAGTCAGTCGAGCCATCAAAGAGATTCTTACGGCCATTGGCCAGGTCAAGGAACGTGTGCTGAACATTGAGTCATATACAGGCGACTCTGTACTCCGCCTGCCAACAAAAGAAGACCTTGATAATGGTGAGCGAGAGCTTGATGAAATCCAGGCTGAGGTTGACCACATTCTTCTGCCTAGGATCGAAGCTTTGGATGAGATGCTCAGTAATCTCACAGAAAATGCGACCGGCTATTTGCAACAGCGTGCTGGTATTGCTGAATCTTTGACGGGTCTCGCCAATTGTATTGATAATAAACGTAATCTACTCCGAGAAGCGACTCGTCTAGCAATATTTGGTACCAAGGCTGACGAAATGGAAGCTATGATAAGCTCGTTATTAGAAGTAATCGACATGGCCACAACGGCAGATGACGATCTCGCAACGCTACCCCCGACTGAGCTTAAATCTAGACTCATTGAATTAGATACAAAGTATCAATACTACGAACCAAAGATATCTCAAGAATTGGAAAACATTCGAATCATGGCTGAGGGCATTAAAGACGACTGGCGAGTAGAAGAACGACTCGGCGCCCTCACTGAACAATGGGCAGAACTAAAGGCATTAGCAAACACAAAGAAAGATGAGTTGAAACGTTTGCTTAACGGTCAGAAACGTGCACTACAACCGCCGACCAGACAGCGACGAGCGGCATCCAATCCTTCTTCTTCAGGTACGACACCAACAAATTCGTCTGTGCGCACAGTAACAGCTCGTCCTTCATCAAGATCATCCGCGTTAACACCAAGATCATCAACTTCTTCATTACGAACAGCACGATCGCCTTCGCCGGCGTCTAGCCGTGTTACGAAAAGAAGCGTTGTGTCACCCACCGGATCTCCGAGACCTGTTAATTCTTACCGACGAGCCGGTTCAAGATTGGCTAGTCCGTCGAGTACGCCGAGACAGACGCCGAGCCCGACACCTGGCGCTTCACGAAGACCCCCGATCAGATTATTGCCGCATTCCGTTAATAATTACGTACCTGATCCCAATGATCAGTTGGATGTCGAGGTTGCAAGGATCGTTAACGCCTGTCCCGTCAAGATTAAAGTCTCTATGGTTGAAAAAGAGTCTGGAAAATACATGTTTGGTGAAGTGGAGCCTAAATTGTGTTACTGCCGTATTTTGAGAAGTCGTATGGTTATGGTCAGAGTTGGTGGTGGCTGGGCTGAACTGTCAAAGTAAATATACAATTGTGTATTTTTTGTGTATATTTTTTTCTTTGGTTAACAAATACTAAATGCTATACGCTTTTTTTTTAATCCCATATCAACAATTTCGCAATTACCCCCACTTGTTAATTTAAAAGATTCCTTGTCGGTAAGTATATATTTTCTTTTCTATTTCCAATCATTATGACATCGAAACATCAAAAAAGATTCTTCAAAAGAAAAAAAAAAGCAATGATTTTTTCTCTCATTTCAACCCTGCGTTTATCATATTATAACCTATAGATAACAATGATGCCACTCTCCAATTCATTCTGCCAAAACAGAACACGCTAATCTGGAACAAAAGTACATCCCCAAAGCCCGGTCTTTTGTCGGACCTAACGAAATCGAATCTAGTAGTAAAGCCACTGATGGTGCCCGTTTTCATGAGGCGTACCTCAGCTTTGAGCAGAAGGGACCAAGACTCAGAGAAGGAGAAACGAGTTCTAGTTCCATGGCGTTGAAAATCCCGACTGCTAAAAGAAATGTGAGTAGTCGTTTTGGGCAACCGAGCGGGAGTGGGAGCGGGATAGGAAAGTAGAATAATTTATACAGATTGATTTGGGAATTTGGGTATTTTTTTTTTCCTGTGGATTTGACTGGGTGATGACAAAAAAAAAAAGAAAAAGAAAAAAGAGGAACATTCAGGGCCTTGGGTCTGCTTTGTCGGGCGCGTCTTATATTTTTCATTATTTATTTCATTACTTTTTATTTTATTTTATTTTATTTTATTTTTTTGTTATTTTCTCTTTTATTTTTTATCGTCTTTCTCTATGGTCACTTTTCTGTTTTCTCTACAATTTTATGAGAACAAAAAAAAAGGCACTCTCCCTATATATTTATATGTTATTTATGTAATATGTATCTATTACCAAAAATATAAAAGAACACACTGAGCGATTAGACACCTTTTAAAAATTATTTATGGATCAGAAATTAACTTTTCATAAAAAAATTCTCTCTTCCCCCCAAAAATTATTATTACAATCTTCGACCCATTCATTTTCACAGAACCGTGAACTTTGCATATGGGCAATAGGGTTAGCGATACTGGTTTATTTCCTGATCGCATTGAAGCAGCCATCGGGCGCATTCGACAGTTGTCAACTCAAGAACACACAGTTCTTGAGTTGTACCTAGCCACCGGAGACATTTTATAAAGTATCATACGTTATGGACTCTTCTAATTTTGCCCATTATTTTATAAATTCACTTGTACCTTTCACTTTAGGATTTTCTTTAGATCTTTTATACAGTTTCTTTCTCTTTTTTTTTTCTTTTCTTTCTCTTTTCTCTTGGGGATCTATGGGGAAGGTGGGGGAAGAGTATGGTTGGGAGAGAAATAGCAGAATTGTAAGTTTCCAATAATTTCTGTAATTAAATTTAGAAATGTATATCGTGAGCAATTGTGATAATAATGTTTGGTTTGGAGCAGAGAAAGGCGGGCGTTCGGTTTGGTCACATTTTCACTTTACACAGCCAATCAATATCTCAATTCAGGAATGCGTTCGCTTTATAGCAGAACTATACTCTATTTAGAAAAGCGCGTCTCAATGAAAGCGTGTGTCCCTAGTACTCGAGTTGAGCCAGTCAATTGACAAGTGACGAGTTATCCAACTTCATAACTTGTTCATGCATACCCCATCAATTACGTAATAATAGCAACATGCCCCCCCCCCCTCATCATTATTCCTTGCCATATCAGGAAAGTGCGCTCATATATTACCCAACAGCATTAATTTTTTGACTTTGCGCGCTTTTTCCCCTAACCCTATTACCACTACCATTATTCTTTACGTCGACCGCGCAGCAAAATTTTACAAAGGAATTATTTAGTCGCAGGAACAAACAGCACCAACCTGCATATACACATACCATCTGCCACCTACCGCCTGTCGCATTTCTCTCTCCTTTTAACGGTCTAATGTTTGCAAGTTGGACCGCCTGGTTTGCACCCAAAGTAGACAAGCAGGCGCGTGAACTTTGGGGTAAAGTATAATCCCTTGCTGAAACTAAGCTATGCTTTTTTTTTTCCCTTTTTTTTTTTTTAAACCTCAATTTGTCTTAATTACTGACCTTGTGCGTTCTCATTGGTTATTACGTCTCGTTGCCACCTGCAGTCCACCATGGCGGCAAACACGATATTCACCCGTCGCGTTGCAATTTATTCTTTAGCAACGATAAAAACGAACCGGAAACGAGACGGTAAGCAGTAATGCGAAATCGTTCATGGGCGGTAAGCGATAATTGACCAATTATATGCGTCTTTGCTTTTATAGACTATTGCAGCAAGAGACCGTTGTCATATATCACCCAAGCTGGATAACAGATTGCCACAACAGAGGCCGTAAAGTGCATTTAGGACCTTTTGTTCTGCCGGATTTCGATATTCGTGAGTTATCAAGTTTACGTGTTACATCTTATTCTGGTCGCTTGCTTTCATTTACCTTTTTTTTTTTTTTTGGTTCGTTGTTCCTAACATTTATTTTTCCCATCTGTTTAATATTTTACCTTTTCCTCTATAGCTATACGACGTCGAATTCAAGCGCACGTTTCCTTACCTAATTCCCCGAATTCACCACCCGTTCTAACATCGACATCCAGCTCGCCTACTCCTGCTCCTACCTACACTCGGAACAATTCTTCTACTTCCGGAAGATACAGTCTGCCAATGAATGTAACCCTTGAACGATTGGCTTCACTAAGTTACGTTGATGACTTGGATCCCGAGTATGGAATACCGAGACAACGTGCACGAAAAGTCAGATCATCGGATGTGTCTTTTATGGATTTTTCCAGCATAAACGGTAGTGCTAGTGCAAGCGTTATCGAGAACGAAGAAGTAATTGATGATATGGATGCGAACGCGACTGAATCAAAATTACCTGAATACTTTTATAGGCAGGATGGGTGGAACAATGGGTAAGCATTGTTTTTGCTTAAAAACGAAAAGAGCATTGGATTGGAATATAAGAGCTGAGGTTTTAGATTAGGATACGGGAATATTTGCTATTGCAGTCTTTTTTTTTTTTTTTTTTGTTACCATGTCAACGTACAAAACTTTTTTGGTGTTTGTTTGTTGTTTTCATTTAATTCATCTTACTTCCTCTGGCTATTTTGATTATTACATTTCCAGTGCTATCCGTATTGTTCTTTTGACTGTTGCTCTTATCACTACATCAAATGCTGTCCGCCTTGTCGTTCCTTTTCTTTCATTTCTTTCCCAAACTCCCTCCGTACCAACCTACCCTTTGCAGGCCGCCTCCTTCACCAACACCGCCTCAACCGACTAGCAGGGCTTCTCGTTCTCCCTTACGGTGATTTATCAATTGTTGGAGATGTAGTTTTGTTTGTTCGCGTTTACGCCTCTGCTTTGTTAGGAATCTGACCTTGTACCTTTTTCTGCAGAAAGAAGAGAAGGCTAGACAGTCCAGAAGTTTTTAGGAGAGATGAATGTGAGCATGAACGAGTGAGTGCTGTTGAAAACTTAAACTTTGGAAACTCAATCGGGAATGCAATGGACAACGAACAAGAAACTGTAAATTGCAACGTTGAGAACCATGTGGAGGAAATAATTAATGAAGGACATGAAGATGACGTGATCGAAGACCAGAGAAATAGCCGTTCCAAAAGGTATATCTGGCGACTAAGTTTTTAAATTTCTTTCGCAATATTTACTGTTGCGACTAACGCTTCAACTTCTACTCGCAAGGGCGACTCCGACGCGTTCGGAATCATTGCATCCGATGCCTTATCCAAACTCACCCACCCCTTCCCGTTTTCATACACCTCCAACACCTACACCACAACCTTCCACAATTAGTGCCAATCAGTTAAAACAGCGGGCAACCGTTTTGCTGATGGCTTTAAACCCATCGCGAACGTCCATATTTGAGGCAGTCGAAATACTTCGACCAGGGTTTGGTGGGTTTGAGATTGAGGAATATGGAGAATGAGAATTCAATTGTTACAGATAGCAGCGTTCGCTTGAAAAGCGAAAATGATGAAATGACATTGATGTTGGCGTGGAGGAAAAGGCTGCGATTGCGTTTGGAAATTATTGAATAGTAGAAGAGGGGTTTAACTTCTCGATTGGATGGAAAACGCGAGAGAGAGCGCGTGGACGAGAATGAAGGAAGGATATTGATATTGATAATATTATGTAAGATGTGATATTTTCGGGAATATTCTTGGGTATGATTATTCACATTTGTCTTTGACAAATCACAGTGGGGTAGGGTCTTGTGGGCAACCAATACAGTGTAAATATTAATAACAAGTCTTTTATCTTGGATATGAAGATAAGGATTGAATGATCTTATTACTTAATATCTGTTGTTGTCAAGGGAGCCACTTTACGCAATATGTCGTAGCCGCCTTGGCTGTTAAGAAAGAATATTTAATAACATATTCGATATCGATAATCGATTAATATTAGCGTAGATTCTTACGTTCAGCGGTAAACATCATATGCTTTGTTGAATAAAAAAATTGCTTAATTTACCCCTAACTAGGAATATCCACAAAAAGATAATAATAAACTGAGTGTTGTATATTAATATACCACCGATCCCCCCACATTATTTGAATACAACAGTTGAGCCAATAGCATTCCACGAAAAATCATATATAACTCGAAAATGTCGTCCACTTCCAGCTAACAATGCGACCACTTTAGCTGAAGCGGTTAGAATCTTGGACACAGAAAATCCTATCGAATTTTTACGTGGGGAAGAAGACTTGCAACTCGACGAAGCTGATTTCAAAATCCTTCGTGATGATGAGATCGCCGGTCGAGAAATTGAAGACGTATTCATCTTTCCGCACTCAGGCAGACGTGAAGGGGGGTATTGGCAAAGTATAAACCCGGTGATTCAATATTGAGCATTCCACAATTTCAGCCGGTTATACACAAACTCGAGGACACCAATGAAGCGCTCATGCAATGCGTAAAGGAATTACGACTCGGGTTAAAAAATTTAGGAGGGTTAGCACCAGATAGCAATGAGGCGGTGCGTTGTGAATTCATATCACCAATTCTGCATGCGTCAGTTAACCTCCTCGAAGGTCTTATCCTAGCACCACAATTCGAAGTCGTCGGTGATGAAACCACTGGTCGGGTTGATTATACTGTCAAAAAACTCTTGGATTCACTGCGAGAGGAAATTATGTGTATCACGGAAAGTAAACCACACCAAGTGGCGATTGGTTTCTACTTCAGATTGAGAGCGCGTGTCAAACGAATAAGCGGAAACGTAAGGCATTTTCGACTCATACGACTACATGTATGGGATTGTAACTACAGGTAAGGTTTAATAACGATTTTTTTCCCTTCCAGCAAAATTTTGCTAATCTATCACCCAACTTTTTGGTACTTCATTTTGTACACGACTGAAGGAATTTATTCCACGAGCGAGAAGGATTACCTCATCAGCTTCAAAAAGTCGGCCCTCGATAATGAAGACGAATTCCGGCGCAATGTAAAAAGGTTAATGGAGGTAATCGTTGGTTTGTTGGAAGATAGGGCAGGCGCAGTGAATGAGGAACCATTGGCGAAAAAACGTCGCGTTGGTAATATTTTCAACAAATAGTCAGGCGTTGTACCGACTTTGTAATGTGTCTTTGACACTGGGCTCTGCCCATTAGAAAATTTTCACGCATTACGCATATCTCTGACCCGGAAGTGTCAATCGTGTTATTGTGTGATCCATTGCCAGTATTACCAGTATATTGAACAGTTGAGTAGGACATCGGCTCTAGGGTTATTTGACCTTAACGGCTCGTCGAATAGTGAACGCTTTTGATTATTTTTTCTTGGTATTTTTGGCAAACATGTTCGCTGAAATTTCATAGAACGACTATGCGAATTGAAACTGTTGAGCTCGATTGGCAATTCCAGCCAATCGTTTCTTAATCATAATGTCCAACTCAAAATAGACTGGCCATCCAACACTCTAGTTCTAAATCCAATTGAAAGTCTCTGGAATATTGTTAATATATTATCAAATAAATCTAAATGTCTTGCGTTTCAAATTTTATTTTATTTTTTGAGAATAAAGTTATAACCTACATAACAAGACACTAATACACGTATCAGTTTAGATAACATTCCTAGAGTCATGTGTTTTTTTGCCAACGTTATGTCTTTTCTTAGAGTGTGGGTTATATCAATTCACATGCAGTCGATGTCTCACATTAATTTTACCTGGTACCGTACAAATTGCCTGAGAGTTGACATTTAAGACCCGGTCTAATAATTGCAATCGTGGTTTTAGTGTCTGACAAACAGACCTTATTTCGCTTTTGTTTTTGCCTGATGTTGATTGCGAGCTTCTCATTAGAACCTATGACATGAAGACTTTTGGTATGTCGCGTCAGGAAATTATATACACTGTAAGTAGCTCATATTCCATCCTCAAAAGCTCGTGCTTGATACGTTGAAATTTTATCCACGGAACTGTTAATTAAACGACCTTTGAAATTAATTTTCTTTGAAACATTAATCGACCGGATATATACTTAAAGTTGTAAAGTTAACATATAAACGGCTTATTTAAAGCTGTAGAATATTTATTAATCAATTATGCGCGGAAAACGAGCGTCTATAATTAATATAGTAATAGTAAACAATTGTGTAATTAGTTTAAGTAAGACAAGTAACATTTAATCCGATTAGTCGAAATACCAATCAATCAGGACTAGTATGCGAGTTTCATAGAGACCATTTGATTCTCCTAAAATTTACCTCATCCACCTGCCCCTCCGCTCCCAACTCGACATGGAATTGTCGCAATTCCTTCACTAGTAAGTCACATTCTGTCTTTATTAACACAAAATGGTGGTAAAAAAATAGGGAAAATTTTACAATACCTTTTCTCTATATTGCCGCGGCAGCTCTCTCAACTTTTCGTCACTCTACCACCCTTCAGGTATGAGACATATCGGCGCATAACTCGGTCGATAGAACAACCTGCTTTCTGTGCAAAAAATTTTTCACATTCATGCCAGAGTATACGCGACACACGTCCACGCTAGAGTATACGCGACACACGTCCACGCTAGAGTATACGCGACACACGCACGCTAGAGTATACGCGACACACGCACGCTAGTATACGCGACACACGTCTACCCCCTCCTAGACGTGAGCATCAATCGGAGGTGGAAAACAATCAATATCGCGAGGAAGGAAAACAATAAGGGGCGCGAACCTTCCCCTTAGGGCATATCACATAATTGAGTTATTTACGTGCACGAAAACAAAAAATTCGCGATTGTTTACAAGATAAAATAAATATTTAAACCTTGCATAAGGATAATAAGCATGAAAATTTTCTTCTCCGCAGGTGTAGGGTTTGGCATTCATGTCTTGCAGAGCACTCGGTATATCTACTTGTGATGCTAGCGATTCGGTCTCGTACTTCCTCCCTCTTTCGTTATGCAGAGCATTCGTGGACCTACTTCTTTGCAATAGTCTCTCTACTCTTTGTGATGCTGGCGATTCGGTCTTGTAACTCTTCCCTCTTTCGCTATGCAGAGCATTCGTAGATCTACTTTGCAATCGGTATCTCTACTTTTTGTGATGCTGGCGATTCAGTCTGTTGTACCTCCCTCTCTCGCTATGCAGAGCATCGTGGACTTACTTCTTTGCGATGACGCCGGCATGGATGTGTTTATGAACAACAAGGACTTTGTGTGGCTCTCTCTTTGCCTTGGTAAGCTAAAAAGTTTGTCCTTTTTTAATTTCTGCGTCTTAAGTTTTTTTTGTGGTAGGAATTTTGTTGCCCCGTGTGCTATGAGGAAGTTGTATGTCGAACCCACCGCTGAATAAAAAACGGCAAAAAATTTAAAAAATTGTTTTCCTTTAAAGGCATGCTCTTAAGGGTCTGAGCCACGGGGTACATCAAATAATCAGCAAGTTTCTTAATTATATAGTAAAAGCCAGCAGTTACAGTCTTCTTTCTTTTTCTCTTCGATTACAAAATCCAGGTTGCAAATACTTATAATATCCACAGAAGCAGAACAACAAACACAGTCAAAATCGGATATAACGAGACTTCCGTCGGGTCATGCTTTCATCAAAGTTATCGTCATGTTCTGATCCGTAGCGAAATTCAACTTGATTCAAAATCGGGCCTGACCCAGTTCGAAATAAGCACATTTTATTTCGCTATTATTACATAAACAATGTTGATTAGATGTCACATTCAAATTAAAATTTTATACTGTCCTTATCCTTTTTATTATACTATCTATATTAATGTTAACTATCCCTTTTTTATAGCATAAAGTAGAAAACAGATATATTATTAGCACTCTGCATCACAATTATAATCTGTTGATTTTCACAAGTAAAATTTTTCAGTAGAGCAAACTTTTTTGAAGATAAACAATCCAACCGCGTGCATATAGATATAAACACGAGAAGATAAGAAGGCATCACGCAAGTCGATTCGATTAACGTATGTTATACATAATAATAATAGTATCCCGTTCAGAAATGGATGGTCAACATTTCTACATAGATCAAGTCTATATATCCGTTGTAGAAGCAACTTACTTGCTATATTCTGCAAGTTTTTAATAAAATGCGGTAGTCTTTATCATTTAGTCTTTGCTCTTCATAAAGAGCAGATGCTCTTTAGAAATGACATATTCTGAATTAAAATTGTTTAGTATTAGTATTAGCGCAACCCTTGACACAATTTTTACCAAACACAATGAACTATATAAGGCTAGGCTTGTACCAAAATCTCGTTTGTGTAAATAATGACGAATACTAGGATGGGCTTGACGTATCTTGATATATATATATATGTATACACACCAAGGTTAGAAATGCAGATACATAGATTAAAATCGTTCACCTTTATAATTATTATCCCATTTCCAGTAACTATTTATAATCTTACATAATGTTCGGCTTTGATGGAAACGTTAAAAAACGTTCTCATATCAATCTCGGTGGTTCGAGAAATGTAAAGGACAAACAGACTTTAATACAAAGTAATCAGGAAAGAAGACTTGCAAGAGAACATGAGAGGAAAAGAAAAGAGTCTGTCACAAAGATACAAGTAAGTAGAAAGAACAGCAAAGCGTAGGCTGAGAACCGTGCCAGTATTATTCCGTCAGCTGACACATAGTATGACTAATACTGTCATGCTTCCTTTTCCCGTCTTCTTTTCTTTTCACTTACTTGATCTTTCTTCTTTCTTTATCACAAAAGGCATTCGTTCGAAGCAGAATAATTGTCAAAAAGTTGCGCGCATCCAAACGCTTGGAATGGGATGTCGAGGCTCAGAACTACTTAAATTCCAACTTCTCGCCTCACGTGGCAGCTCTGAACTTGGTTTCTCTGGTCAGAAAATTTTTGTTCTTTTACCAACCATTGCAGGACGTTGAGAGGGAGACTCGCTTGTGCTATTTATTGACTTTGAAACGACAAGGTGGGCAACTGTATAGGATAATAACAAGAGACTAGAGAATTTAAGGATGTGAATGAGGGGAGCGTAGCTTCCGTAATGTCAAATCGAATATAGCCTCGAATTCCTTACAAGGTCATTGGTCAATGCTCACTCTTTAATCTGAAATTCTTTCAACGAAAGACACGATACTCTTTATCCATCCCTTTTTATACGACGATCTACGCGACGATTGGACTTATCAAACGAAGCGTCTTTTAGTTTTATTTCTCAGACGGTTTGGGTCTCACCAAATGTAAGTCTTATTTGTCTTTTAATGAAAAGCTAGGAGGGATAATTATGGGAGACTGATTCCAATGCGCTAATTGAGAATGTCCAGATTCGTTAAATTAGCGTGGTTACCAAACAGTCTACACATCTCAGACGTTATTTTTAATTCTTGGTAAATACAGCCAGATTAATAATACTAATTTGCATTTTCTTTCTTGTCTCAAAAAGACATCCGAATTTCCTCCTTGATTACGTGAATTTTATACGATCAGCTACCGATGAGTCAAACTATTTGCGAATTGAGGATGAAATTTGCAGGAAGTTAGTGTTCTGAAGTTTGATTATAAGAAGCGTTGTTTTGATGATTTAAGTTAATCGTGGTTTGTTTTTTGTTACAGAAAGATCGTTTACTGTCTTCTTGAGCATTTAATACAGCAGGGCCTGTACAGAGAATTGCGTAATCATCTCCTTGGATTGGTATGTTAATGATTCACTAAAAGTCCTCTCTGTATAACACGACAAGCATTTCATTCACTGAAAAATCTATTCTTGTTACTTATGCTCCATTACTTTTCTTATGTTACCTGCACTCTCTAATTGGTTTCTCAATCTTCCATATTTTATCTTCATATTTACAGCCCGTCGACGCTGAAGTACCTTCACCGACAATCCCTTCCCTAAGCCACCTCTCAACTCTTCCCTTCCGTAGTCTTTCTGCCGACTCCCCTGTCTTAATTCCTTCCATCCACGCCTTCATTACAGAAATTTTGAAAATACCCTTACTGATGTATCACGTAAAACAAGAACTGTCAGCATTCGTAGCGGCCATTCCAATCGATATTGTCGTAATAGAGCTATCAACAATGAGTTTTAAAAACGAAGAAGGACTGAAAACAGGAACGGGCACAGAGCTGATTTTAAGCACAGAGGAGGCTGCTGGTTTATTGAGCAATATACTGGCTTTTACTCGTCCCGAAAAGATTGCATCTTTGAGTAAATTTGCTATTGACAGGGGGATTACATTGGATGATGTCATGGTAAATGTCAAGTTTATGAACGCGAGAGATTGAAAGTTGGAATGATTATAGATATGGAAACAGGAGGCAGAGAAAGCGATATTGTTTACTTTCTTGCTTATGGCTAACTTGTAATTTTATAGCTTGCGTACTTGGAAGTGCTCAAGAATTTATTTACATTGATTCCAACAAGTGCGCTTTCTAAAAAGTCACAGAACGAGAACAGTAAGCACGCTCCTTAACATATTGATAGTTAAAATTTTTAGTATATTTACCTTTGAACACTTTCTCACCACTCTTACTTCTCTTTCCTCAACACAGCATCCTCGAGTTATGACGATGATGAGGACGAAGACGAAGAACTTTCATCTTCCGACCCATTACGTCCCCCTCTAGATCATCGTCTGCTTTGGTGGATCGAGCGTTTTTTCAAAGGTCCTCAACTTGCATCCATCTTCGCCTTCGCTGCTTCATCTTCTTGTCCGACGTCACTCCTTCGTGTTTGTAACTTACTCATGGCTCTCATGAATCGATGGCCATTGAAGAAGCAACAGCTATTGACTAGCATGATGAAGAGAATTGGTCCAGACAAGAAAGATACCTACGTCAAGATGATTTGGGAAGGATTCAGAGCAATGGAATTATATGGAAAAATTAACGAAAGAATGTTTCCCATAGCAGTTATTACAGGTGAGCTAACTATGATGGGAAGGAAAAGAATGTAAAGGAAGAGATTAGAACAGTGCCCATTATCATCCGGGTGGGTTTGTTGTCTCAACCATTTGTTTTATTACAATATTTCGTAGACCCTATATATGCCCAACAATGGGAAATGCTAGCCCTTCTATGCGAACTATTTAGTCGCGTATTACTGACTACTGGAGACGACGAGTTCTTTGAAAATGGGAAGAATCCTCTGCATCTTGATGAAGTTATCAAGATGTCTGCTTGTTTGAGGGTATGTTTGTGAAACGCAAGTGCAGAAATTATTATCGAAGAATTAAGCGTAATGATTATTTTCTCATTTATTGTTTTTAGAATGTCACTTTTGCACTATATTGGAATTCGCATTTCAAAATTGAAAGTTTTCTCGAAGGCACATGTATACAACTTACATATTTAAGGGACATATTGACAAAAGTGCTCCAGCAAATACATGCGAGAGAGTGAGTGTTTGACGCTAGATCAATACTAAAGTTATAGTTACATCATCTCACGATTGTTTGACTCCGCCTTCTTTTCACTTACCTCTTTCTTTTGTTGTCCCAATTCTCTCTTTCACACAGCTCTCGTCGCCAATTCACAGAAACAGGTCATTGGTTAATGCCTATGCAGATGGATATGGCATCTTTCATAAACGAAGCAGCGTCTTATGATCCAAATGCTGAAGAGTTACCTTCCAAGATTGGACCGCGTCGAATTGCTCCTATCAGTCACCGAATAAAGATATTAAGCAGCATTCCATTTGTCATTCCATTCGAGGACCGAGTCAAGCTATTTAGGAAATTCGTACAAAATGATCCGGGACGGTTAGTACCATCGTTAGAATCTCTATTACATCTATTTATGATTTTATGTTAGTTGCTTCTGGAGCTTTGGTAATTTTTAACACTTCCAGGGGATTATACAAATTATTAACATTTTTAGACCATATAATCACTACCGAATGCGCGTCGAGATCCGTCGGACCCACATATTTGAAGACGCCTATACATACCTTAGTGGATTAAAAGAAGAACTAAAAGATCGCATAGCAATCTCTTTCAAAGATCAGTACAACATTGTAGAGGCTGGGATTGATGGCGGGGGATTGTTGAAAGAATTTTTGACTTTGTAAGTTGAATTGCAGGGTTGCACATAAAATTTTGGGAAATAAGCTGCTAATGTATTTGGTTTCAGGCTGTGCAAAGAAGCGTTCGATGCAAACCGTGGCTTATTCGTTACAACCAAAGATCAATTACTATATCCTAATACGCTGAGATATGCTCAAGAAGGTAAAAGCATGGAGAGGTGTTTATGCACGTGATTTGAGGAATTTAGGGTTGCGACTTATACTGGCTCATTCTTATAGAACAACAATTGAACTGTTACGAGTTCCTCGGTCGTATATTGGGTAAAGCTTTATACGAAGGAGTATTGGTTGATTTTGCATTTGCTGGATTTTTCCTAAGTAAATGGCTTAACAGATCATCATATTGTAAGTACAAAATGTTGGACAAACTTGACGCGAGTACTCTTGTATTCCGTACTCACCCTGCCGTCTTTCTTCTATTTCAGTGGACGACTTACCATCGCTAGATCCGGAATTGTACAAAGGATTAATAATACTCAAAAATTATGACGGCGACGTCGAGAGTGATTTCGGAGTGAACTTTACAGTTGTTGACAATGGTAAGATGAAAAAGACTATTTCTTGATATCAACTTTATTTATATATTATTATAACTGTACTTCATTTTATATTACGTCCGCGTCAACCTTTTTCTAGAACTTGGCGAGTCTCGTATAGTTGAACTTATACCAAACGGCGCGAACATTCCGGTGACTAATGAAACAAAATACCAATACGTCTTTCGAGTTGCCAATTACAGACTAAACACGCAAATAGATAAACAGTGTAAAGCATTCTTTAAAGGGCTTTCCGACTTGATTGATCCAAAATGGTTACAAATGTTTAATCAAGTGAGTTTTGTCTTTGCTCAGAATATGTATCTAAATGTGCTTCCTTCTCATTCATCCGCTTTCTTTTTCATTTTGCAAACCGCACAATAGCAAGAACTCCAAGTTCTTGTTGGTGGAGCACAGATCGACATCAACCTTGACGACCTTCGTCAGAATACTGTCTACTCTGGCTATAGTGATGACGACGTTGTAATCCAAAACTTCTGGAAAGTTGTCTCTTGCTTCAGTGAAGAACAGAAACGTAAATTAATTAAATTTGTGACATCATGTTCTCGACCACCTTTACTCGGGTTCGGAGAGCTTGTTCCGAAGTTTGCTATTCGAAATGCCGGGAAGGAATTAAGGTTGCCTACAAGCAGCACTTGTTTTAACTTGTTAAAGTTACCCGCATATCCTGATGAAAACACGTTGAGAGCGTAAGTTGAGAGTGACGAGTTTGGTAAATGCTGTTGAGTTGAATTTATTGTATTTATTTTATTGTCTAATATTTTTTATAGGAAATTGGAATATGCAATCGACGCGGGTGTTGGATTCGACCTGTCATAATGTATCCTTGTTCATATAGATAGATTTTAAAATATTATTGCATGCATACAATTATTTATATATTAGGGATAGCTCTGATTCATTGAACAAAGGACAATTTGCAGAAAAAAATGGTATCTGATTATTGGAGCCCTTTTATATATGTTTGCTCAAATAACCAACAATTGTAGATATTGAATTGATTAACAATAAAAGTGAAACTACGTAATAGCCAAAATGAATTCATGTTCAAGGTTTGACAATATCAATACAGGGTACAGGGTAACGACCTATTACTTCTATTTCTCCACTGTTCACGTAATGCCCTGCATGCATGATAGATCTCAATACGTTCATATCATGTTCTATAAAACCTTCACTGAAAACCACTTCTAATGGATTATCCACAACTTTGCCAATATTAATATGATAATAGCCAATGTAAGTTACGCAGTGTTACACTCATGCATGACATAACTGACAGCCTCAACGGAGCTAAGACTAATATATTATTATCACTCCGAAATGGCAAACTCAATATTAATTGACTTGTCTTCAGATCTTTCATCGGATTATGAAAAGCTTTATGAAAGCAACAAATACGCAGATGTTTCGATTAATGTTGGACGAGAACCAAACAATAAAATCTTTTTTGCTCATGCAGTCATATTGTGCACAAGAAGCACATATTTTGAAAAAATGATTGTTGAAAGTACAGGAGAGTTTCAACAGACAGTTATGAGTTTCGAAGATGTAACATCCAATGTCTTTGAAATTTTAATTAGGTAAATTTTAAAACAATAATTACAGTCATTTGCAATGGTTGCTTACTCAATTGATTTGTGTTTATTTATTATAGATTTATTTACACAGGAAAACTGATTTATGATTCAAGTGAGGTTATCAACTGGATCAGTCTTTTAGATGTCGCCTGCAGATTCGAATTAGATAACTTTGTTGTCGCGGTTGGAGACTATTTGGTTAGTCACCAAAAGAAATGGATACAGTACAACATTTCTACAATCCATAAATGTGCCTTATCCTCAAGCCTATTAAACAAGTTATTGAATTATTGCAGCAATTTGACAATATCAGCTCCAGAGGTTATGTTCAAACCTGATAACGTGTTGAATTTGTCAAAAGATACCTTGATTACTCTTCTCAAACGTGATGAATTTAAGATGGAAGAAATTGATATTTGGACATCAGTAATACAATGGGCTATTAGTCAAGTTCCAGGACTGGGACTTTTAAATAAACCGGACCACTGGTCATCTGAAGATGTTACTAAAGTCAGAGCAGTCATATCTGATTGTATTCCACATATAAGGTTTTTCAACATTGCATCTGAAGATGTTCAGGAGAAAGTTGTTCCATATGATGAGTTATTAACAAAAGAGTTGCGACGTGATATAGTTTCTTATCACATGAATAAAAATTACAAACCAAAATCAATAGCTTTACCTCCAAGGAAAGGTCAAGCATTTTACAATAATAAGATTAATGAAGAGTACAAAACTCCTGCTTGTGAGCAGACTTCTGATAGCTTACATATAAGATCTCAACTTGTCAGTATTAGTATACCAATTTGTCATACAATGTGGGACAACAGTCTGTGATCTTTTTTCCCTCTAGAATATTAGTATAAGAATAATAATAACTCTGGCGTTAATTTATTATTATATTATTCTTGCCAAATTCACCATCTACATCATCATAGGATGCCACCAAATACAAAGATTTCCGGGTTATAGTTGGCATTGGTAAGTGTTGGAACAAAATATAGGAGTGAATGTGAAATACATTGGTTGTGTTAATGCCAAAATCAAGAAATAATAATTAACTTTGTTCATTTGACATTGTAGACTTTGGGACAACCTTTTCAGGTAAACGCTATGTATCTGAATGTATCTAATTTCGAGACTAACGTCCTATATATCCCGCTCAATAGGCTATGCTTTTGCTCACAAAGCAAATCCGGATCAAATCGAAAGCCAAGACATGTGGTAAGCGCCCGTGGTCAGGGATGGGCAAATATTAATTAATATATACTATCACTTACAACCTGTCATTTCAGGCCAGGACAAGAGGGCTCGCTGAAAACAAACACAGTTCTCCTGTATGACAATGAGTGGAACGTAATCAAGTGGGGATATTCTGCATTGGCTGAACGTCCCGAAAAGAAATCTCAGAGGGATAATTGTCTCGTTGAGCTGTTTAAATTACATCTGGGCAACTTGTCCCAGGATAAAGAATCGAGATTGCCGAGGGGGCTAGACTATCGAAAAGCAATTACAGATTATCTTAAAAAACTGAATGAGGTGGGTAATGATCACAATATGAGGTAAAAAGGCAAAAAGTTTTATTAGAAATATACAAGAAAAAGTAAATCCTAGGCCCCTCATTTCTTCGGGAGATTATAATTAGGCGTAACAGTACAGAGATATACCCGTTTATTATGCTTTCCCCAATAACTAAATGATGGGCTTTGTGACTGAAGTTTTATATCCTGGTTGTTATCCTTCTGACATGAATGTTTTTCTTACTGTTTTGCTATTTCGTAGTCTATTCAGGAGACAGTAAAAGCAAGATGGTCAAAACTTGATTATTACTCTCACGTAATTAAAGTAATGACTGTACCAGCAGAAGATGATGGGAAAGCACGGCATGTTATGCGTACATGCGCATTTGAGGCGGGAATAATAAACACTTTAAGCTCGGAAGGCTTAGAATTTACCAGTGAATGTAAGAATATACGCTGATATGAATTGAATTTGGCAGTATTTTCAATATGTTAATAATATTCTTACTAGCTGAGGCTGCTGCGATATTTTGCGTGAGAACGTTGAAAGAACATAATCTTAATCCAGGATGTAAGTATACTAGAAATATTTACATCTACGCATTGGCCGAGTCATTATCGCTAAGCTCAATAATTACAAAACGGCCTTCAGCCACTTTCTTAGTGGTATACTTTGGTGAAAACACAATAGACCTGACGACACGGACTCTTCTTGCTCATAACAAAATATCCGAAATCGTTGCACACAGAAATATCGACTTTTGCGGCAGCACCGTCATTGATCGTGAATTCATTAATTATATTGCATCAGTAGTAGGCAAATCGGCGATGTACAATTTCGAGGAAAGGCACTATGCCTCTCTGCAGTACATGATTCAGAAATTCTGCAATAATGTCAAATTTAAGTTTGATGGGGACAGTGACAAGTTTACGACGAAAGACTTTGATATTGAAGAAATCTGTCCAGCCTTGATGCAATACGTTAACGGAGAGGAAAAAAAACGAATGGAAGAAGCGGAATGGATAATCGAGCTGGATTACGAAACTGTTGAAAGTTTCTTTGATCCAGCTGTCGAATATATTTTATCCGTTATAAGCATCCACCTGAACCAAACGGGAGCTACGTCAGCAATATTGTTGATCGGAGAATTATCAGAATCGAGGTATTTATTGCAGAAGGTTAAAAATAAATTTTCGAGTCAAGTTGGTATTATTGCAGTTCCACCCGCTCCTATTGCTGCTGTTGCGCGGGGCGCGGTATACTATGGTATGTAAGGAATAGGAAAGGTCGCTGTTATGTACAGGAAGGCGATATCATGTGCGATTGTTTATGTAACCCGCGATTATGTATCATTCGTAATAGGTCTCAATTTGA